GTGTGTGTGTGTGTGTGCGTGCGTGTGTGTGTACAGTTGAAGGTATTACCCAGAGACCTGCAGCTCTGTTCGGAGACGGCGTCCGGTGTTGATGCGGGGGGGCAGCATGAGTGGGGGGAGCTGGTCCAACTTGACCCACAGACGGTTGGAGTCATTGTCCGACTGGAGAGAGAAACCTTCCAGGTAATAGTCTGATCCGGGATGGAAACGTCAGCACGGTGAATACAAACAGAGTCTTTGCTCAGTTCAACATGAAGAATTTATAACGGTGCGTTTAGTGAAGAACGTCTGCGTCCCTCAGGTGTTGAACATGCACGGGAAGGTCCTGACAGTGCGCCACCAGGCGGTGAATCGCAGGAAGGACAACCGCTTTGCCGTGGCGCTGGACTCGGAGCAGAACAACATCCACGTCAAGGACATTGTGAAGGTCATCGACGGGCCGCACTCGGTAAGGACGCAGCTTATTACTCTGTTTGTGTTTTTAACTGTATTTATGAGCCTGTCAGGTCCCTGGTTTAATTTGTATTGAATTTAATTTTAATCCTAATTGTTGGAGCTTTGACGACACCTTGTGGCCGCAGGCATTTTGTTTGGAGGATGTTCATTAGTAACTCCTTGAGTGTGTGTGTTTTTCTATGACATTGTGTGTTGGTGTGTTACACTGTGTGTTTTGTGTGTGCAGGGTCGCGAGGGCGAGATCCGACACCTGTTCAGAGGCTTCGCCTTCCTCCACTGTAAGAAGCTGGTGGAGAACGGAGGCATGTTTGTCTGCAAGACCAGACACCTGGTGTTAGCTGGTGGATCCAAGGTCAGCACCTTCAGCTGGTGTCTCATCAGAGCATGAAGACAGAAAGTAGATTCATGATGGATTAGACTCAGATGTTGTTGCCACAGTTCTGCAGGATTTGTTTTTAGTCGTGTCTTTGGCGTCCTGTAATAAAAGTGGCAGCAGCGAGTCCATGACCATGGGAGCTTAACATTTTAATGCTGGTCTGTGAATATTTATTGAGCCACTATCAAAAATGAAGCGTTACATCGTTTGTTGAGTTTGTGGCGTGTTTATTCTTCCAGCCCAGAGACGTGACCAACTTCACCGTGGGAGGATTCGCTCCCATGAGCCCTCGCATCAGCAGCCCCATGCACCACGGAGGAGGAGGAGGTAAGTGTTGGAATCAAACACCGTGACGTTCGTCTGCCTGCTCTGTATCTAGACAAGTCTGAACCCAGCGTCATTGCTTCCTTTTGATTAGTTTTAGTCACTTTGTAATTTAGAGAGCGCACGGAGAATTTAGACAGAGAGTGATGTTGTGTTGCTGTGGTCCTCCAGGTGCTCAGCAGAGAGGAGGAGGAGGAGGTGGTGGTGGAGGAGGTGGTGGAGGAGGAGGAATGGGACGGGGCCGAGGTCGGAGAGACAACGAACTGATTGGTCAGACAGTTCGTATCTCTCAGGGACCATACAAAGGTAAGACGAAGGATGAAGTTTTATTTTGAAAAACCCCGAATCGGAGTGAAAGTTTGATCAGTGCCGTCATCTCGCTCCTGGTCGACTCCTCGTTTTTAAAAGAGGTGACGCTGATGAGTTTTCCCTCCGTTTCCCAGGATACATCGGTGTGGTGAAGGACGCGACAGAGTCGACAGCCAGAGTGGAGCTTCACTCCACCTGTCAGACCATCTCTGTGGACAGGCAGCGCTTAACGACCATGTACGTACACACAAACACGTCCCAACCATTGTGTCCCGGTGTCCGTCTCTCTGTTCTGACCTGATAATGAGTCCAATTCTACTTTTATTCCTCTCCGTCTCTCCAGGGGCGCTAAGAGACACAGTGGAATGACATCCACTCACGGACGCACTCCGATGTACGGCTCTCAGACTCCGATGTACGGCACCGGCTCCAGAACGCCCATGTACGGCTCCCAGACGCCGCTGCATGATGGTGAGACTCTGCGTGTTTGTCTGACATCATATGTTTTATGTTTTTATTGTTGTCTGTCAGATCCATGATTTGTGTTTCTTCTGCTTTGCTCTGTTTATCTGTCATTAGTTGTCACATTGCGTTTACACACGTCAGGATGATAAACCTTACTTGTTGACATTAAACTTGACTGTAAAGAACTATATATATATAAATAAATAAATACAGACCCTTTGTCTTGTAGCTGGAAACCGTACGCCTCACTACGGCTCTCAGACCCCGCTGCATGATGGGAGCCGGACGCCAGGTCAGAGCGGGGCCTGGGACCCCAGCAACCCAAACACACCTTCCAGGTAACACAACCTCATCGTTTGTTTTAAAAGAGACTGTGTGCAGGTTCATCTCTTTTCATTCTTTATTGAATACATTTGTATTTTTTGTTTCTTCTCTGCAGAAACGAGGAAGAGTACGACTTCGGCTACGATGACGAGCCCTCCCCCTCTCCTCAGGGATATGGGGGAACCCCCAACCCCCAGACCCCAGGTTACCCAGAAGTCCCCTCTCCTCAGGTCAACCCTCAATACAATCCTCAGACACCTGGCACGCCCGCGATGTGAGTCTTTCTTAAATGTTATTTATTTAAAAAAAGGACAAACTTCAGTTTCTTCAACATCTAAAAACATTTTCTTGTGCGCGTGTGTGTGTGCGTGCGTGTGTGTGTCTGTGCGTGTGTGTGTGTGTGCAGGTACAACACAGAGCAGTATTCTCCCTATGCAGCTCCCTCCCCACAGGGCTCCTATCAGCCCAGTCCCAGTCCTCAGAGCTACCACCAGGTGGCGCCCTCACCGGTCGGCTACCAGAACACACACTCTCCTGCCAGTTACCATCCGACGCCGTCCCCCATGGCTTATCAGGTAGGAGGAGTCTGTGTTTATTTCATGTGATGAGAATAAATGTTTTGACCATCACATCGTTTGTCCTTTTGATTTATTTGTGTAGTTTAGTTCAGATCTTTGAAACAGGAAGTGAGTTTAAGGCTCAGCGGATAGACGAGGTGTCATCACAAAGTTCAGAGTCGATAACAGGTGGAAACTGCGCTGCGCGATTCCGTAAACATCTGTCGCGTGTTAGAAACACGTCGCTCGCTCACTGCGAAGTTTCCAGATGATTTCCTGCTGGAAAAGTTCCAGAGACACCGACTCAGACATTTGTTCTCACACACAGACGCTCCAGAGATTATCCGGAGTCAAAAAGCAGTTTAACAGTTGTGCCGTCTCTACAGGCCAGTCCCAGCCCCAGTCCTGTGGGCTACAGTCCCATGACGCCTGGAGCGCCCTCTCCTGGAGGCTACAACCCTCACACCCCGGGCTCCAACATCGAGCAGGGCAGCAGCGACTGGGTGACAACTGACATCCTGGTCCGAGTGAAAGACTCCTTCATGGACCTGATGGGACAGACGGGCGTCATCAGGAGCATCACGGTAACACACACACACACACACACACACACACACACACACACCTGACCTCATTACATCTTCATTATATATATATATATATATTTATGCTTCCGCTCCGGCGACACCCGGTGGTCGGAGGCCTTATTTTCCCGCCCGTTGTATTGTTGTGAACACGATATCTGAAGAACGACTCGAGGGAACAAATGTTCACTTAGGATCAAAGATGAACTGATTAGAATCTGGAGGTCAAAGGTCACAGTGACCTCGTCTGTCTGGAAAGTAAACGATGGAACTTCTCTGATTGGTGGAGACAAACAACAGGGAGGGGATTCTAGTTTATACTGAATCTAGAAACAACATTACTGTTGTCATGTTCCTAACGTGTGTGTGTGTGTGTGTGTGTG